TCTCACCAAATGCATCAAATATACAAATGATGATTTGTGAAGAAGAGGATGCAACTTCTGCAAAAAGTGATGTTTTTTATTCAGATAGCCCACATTATACTGATGGGATTCATTCCTCATTCTTAGAGCCATCCGATTCCTCGCATATTTTCGACTTGGATTTCTCTCAAGACGGAGATGGCAACCTGAGCAGGAGTCTTATGTCCCCACCGTGCTTTACGAAACTTGGAGATGAATGTTGTAATGATTTACGACTTAATTCGTGCTATTAGGGATTCCCAGTTATAGATCAGACCATTGGTTATGGCTTCTTATTGAGTAGTGTACTTCTTGGTGCGATGAGTTAGCTACGCGATTTAGTGTTGTGTTTGTTGACGAGCTTAGAATCTGTAATGAAGCTTTCGTTTTTCATCGAAGATTTTCTCACAAAATTTTACCTCAAATTTTCTCTCAAAATTTGGAATTTTTACGGCTATTAAAAATATAGAAAAGCCATAAATTGTGTTACTTTGGCCCATTTCTTTAATAAATTCGTTAGTATGATATTTCGTACCATTTCATTTCATCCAAAAAATCCATTGAAATGCCACTTAACTAACTAAAAGATTGGCAACTAAAAAATTTCATTAAAAATACCACTTGACTAAAAGTCAGTTATTGGTTAACACGTCATAGAAAAAATTATGTATTTCCATAATGTGTGAATAAAATTTTTATCTTTCGAGTACTTCAATTTCATTTAAATATTGATTAAACACTAGCTATTTAAAATTGAGGCACCCATGTTAACTTGTTATGGATAGTGCCATATCAGCATTGATTCCATTTACAATTTTAAAAACTATTATTATTTCAATTTTTGAGGACAAAATGTCAACATAAATATAAGCTAAAAAGTCATTGCTTATAAAAGGACGTTGGAGTACGAAAGCCTTTAAACTTTCAAAAATCTCGACTTTAGGGCCCCTCAACTTTTCTTCCTTCCAGTTGTTCGTATTCATACTTTATTAGATACCTCCATTGTAAAACTTGCTTATGAAGAGTGTTGGAGTAATACTTTCCAATTTTAAAACTTCATCCTAGGAGTACTTTCGTAACAATTCAGGCTATGTGCTCGACCGTTGTCTTACGTACTGTCCGCTCTAAGATGGAATCTTACCTCTTACCCCCACAAGACTTTTTGTCGCATTGTTTACGATTCAAACCATTGACCTTCTGTGCACTTTTTGTAACGATCCAACATTCGTGCCTAAGTCGTTACTTTAGGTATTATTCACTTTGGAAGAGTCTAAATTTATTTTACCCCTACATGACCTTTTGTCACATCCTCAGGATTCGACAGAAAGTCATGAGGGACAAGATGAACTTAAACTCTCTTAAAGTGGACAATACATAAGTTAGCCGCTCGGGCACAGAGACTAGGTCGTTACAATTTTTGATCGATTTCATTTAAAATATCTATTAAAACACTAGCTAATTAAAATTTAGGCACTGGTTTAAAAGGTTTGTTAATGTGCTATATGTGCAAAGATCGAAAGTCGAAGATCCATTCCTTCAAAGTTGGAACGAGTTACTCATAGTGCTTGTTTTCAATTTTTGAGGACAAAATGTCAAAAATAAGCTAAAAAGTCATTGCTTATAAATGGACGTTGAAGCCATTAAACTTCAAAAATCTTGACTTTAAGGGCTAAACCCCTCAACTTTTCTTCCTTCCATTTGTTAGTATTCACTCTTTATTAGATACGTTTTTGAAAAACTATCTTATAGAAGTGCTTATTTGGTAGTGCTTTTAATTATATTTAAGCTGTGAGACCTATGAAGTATGTGGACAATAAGTTGATGGTAAACTATGGAACTTACGAAATATATGGATAAAAAGTACATTGACAAACTTTAAAAAATTTATGTTTTGTCGAACATACACTTATTATCGTAGGTTAATGAAGATGGATCTCATACACTTATTTGCAGGATTGTTTTGTGTCGTCAAAGTTTGTAAATAATCAAAATTTATTCAAGTGTGTCGGAAGATTGAATATGGTATTTTTTTATGTCTATAAACAATCTTAGAAATGCATGCCAATTGACTGTTTTACTCTTTCAGTTATTTTCAAAGAAAAATAAAAAATGAAATATGTCAAAGTTCTAGAGAGTCAGTCATACTTAATGTGGCGTATCCATTCAAGAACTTTGACATATTTCATTTTCTGTATTTTTCTTTGAAAATAACTAAAAGAATAAAATATATTTTAGTCGAGTGGCATGCATATGCCTTACGGTCGTGTCGTTGAATAGTTGGCACTATGCTTTGAATAGAGAAAATTG